AAAGCGATTGACAAATTTAGGCTCCTTAGCGTCTATTACCCGTAAGAGTAGAAAAGTAGTAGAATTCTGAGCCAGCTGTCAAATGGTCACATCTTCTGCTGTATAAGAACGCACATTTTTATATTTCTTGTGATTGAATATCGCATAATATTCGGCATGCTCCTGAAGCTTCCCACTTTAGGTATCACGATTCAATGAGGATGAATTGAAGTACTTCTTGAAATGGCCTGAGTATGATTTTTGGTCCGGATTTGTGAAGCTGAGGAACGGGTCTGAGCCAGGGTAAGTTCTTTCATTGCATAGGTCCGTTAAGAATGCAGTCTTACTCTGATCCCTTTTTTAGTGAAGAGCATCTGGATCGCTTCTTTTACACTACTGGTTTTCATGGAGAAAAACTGTCGGATTGGAATGAACGTGGAAGGATGCTGCGATCATGGCGAAAAGTCGTCGATAATTACACGTTAGTCGGATTTGATTGATTTGAAGGTTACCGATCGGAAGAACTTTCATAAGCTTTTCAGGGTAGAACTGTTGATTTGGGAGTTTGATCTTAATGTGGGAGCTGGCCTTGCACCATGCCACGGTTTCTACCGGTTTTACCCTGCACCGTGGAATATTCCAAATGTCTATCGGTCTGTGAAATAACACGATGACATCAATCGGCCGACAGTCGTTCCTAATACTGTACTGTTGCGGTGCTTACTTCTTCTCCGTTCCCTCACCTCATCTACCCCATGAAGTCGTTCTAGAATAAAATGAGGACTTCTTAATTATGGCCACGTGTTTTTTGTCCATTATTCTTCCCAGAATAACTGGTCTTTGCATAGAATGAGGCTCTTGGAATTGAAGAACCATATCATGGGTTGCAATATCGCTTCAGGACAAAGATGGTGGCATATACGTAGTCCCGGAGTCCTAGAAATGAAATCCAGTAGATATTTTGAATCTAGTTGTTTGATGAGTATTTATAGCTGGCGAAATAATCAGGAAACTATCGTTTTGCTTTTAATTCCGTTTCTAAGACAATCTGCAAGAGGTTTTTCGAGATCTCCAGGCTGCTTTCAACACATTCTTTTCCCTTTTGATAATAATGTGGAAACCCAGTCTTTTCCCCGGTTCAGTACAGTAGACCAGTACACCATGGGCCATTACGGGAAAGTCCAAGTCCCTTCATTGCCCAGTGTTCTGTGACCGGAAAACAGGGATTATTTTTTAGCTGATTTTCTAACTGGAATCTTTTTTCAGCGAATTTAAACCATCAGTATTCCACGAAGATGGTGTCTACCTCGATTTGATTGATAATATGAGTACGGATACGTGGCAGGTTGGTCCCAGTTAGCCCATTCAGCAAATTGGAATGCACAAATCCATTCGGCTACATTTCAGTCCGTTCTGGGCACATTAGTATGTATGGCATTTGTATGCTTCATATTCCTTAACAATCTCTTCACCGTTGCCATTGCAAGTATCTCCGTATTGTCCATCTGCGCAGGTAAGGAACTCTTAATTTTTCGCAAGGATTCCTATAAATCGGAAAAATTCCAGGAATACTTGGCATACTCTCATGGTTGGGTGTGGATCTCGATCCCATCACAATGGCCGCTACCATTATTTCGATCGGTTTCTCAGTGGATATACCGGCTCACGTCTCCTACCACTACTATCAAGCCTGTGGGCCTTTTTTATCCTTCTTATGTAGCCTTTTCTTAAGAAGACATCATTTCGCCCTCAGAGCAATAGCTCCCACAGTGCAAAGCGTACTTTGGTGAGGCGATGTCAGGTCACAGACCACCCTGAGCAAAGGGCTATGATCCAATCCTCCACCTCAGCATGTGTAGGAATCCCCTGTACCCCACATGATCGCAAAACATTGACTGCACTAGCCACAGTGAGTGCACTGGTGCGACATGCAACTTGTCCCGCAGTTGACGATACCTCAGGAAGGGTGCTTCTTCAAGTCATTCCCTCCTACCCACTTGTCGCCATCAAATGACCCCCGGGACGGACGTCTAAGGAGGGTTGCATAATGGGGCCCTAACCCTACTTTCTCCAATGTTCCCGAAGTTCTGGCTTCATAGTTTACTATGTAGCCGGTTCCTGGGCGGACTCTAGCTTCAACTTAAACTTCCTTCCACGCGGCACCGACCTCGATTCGGAGCGATGGAATTATCATGGCAAGCGGAAGACTATACAGGGTATCGTTTTGTTTGGGGGCTCTGTTTTGGGGATTCAGAACCGAATTAGTTCTGGGAGGGACAGCTGCCAAAACTTGATTTTCACGAAACACGATTTTTTCGAAACGTAACCGATCCTAAAACGTCTTTCATGCAAAAAAATATTAAAAGCTAGCCTTGTAACGTGTTTTGGTATTGTTTCAGCACTACAAGAAGGTCCAACCTCGAGACCAGCTGATCGGTTGGCAAACTGTTTGTCATCAGTGGCTTTCCCTGCAGTCCAAGCTGCTCTCAGCACCATTTTATGTGTGTGCAGTTTGATGTTTGTAAACCTCTACATGGCTGGGGTAAGTGTTTCGAAAATTATCCCTTTATCCATCCCTTTATTTCCTTTAATAAGGTGGGCAGGGATTTTTTTTACCATGAAGGGTGGCATTTCTTAATAAAGGAGTATGAAGTGGGAAGAGTTTCTGCATGTAGGAATGAGTACCGCTCATTCCTATCTATACTGCTGCTCTCGTTACTCATCGGCATCGGCAACTATTTCATTTCATTTGCGGTTGTCAGCGATTAATCCAAAAAAAACTTTAACAATCTGATATTGTAGTTCTAATGAAGGTTTCCCGGCAAGTCTTGGAATAATACGGTTGGGAAATCTAGAAATTGACAGATTAACTTCACCGGGAGTGAAGCTTCGGGCAAAACATGACTTAGTCTTACCAATGGATGATGTTTATTATAGTGGGAGATGGCACCCAAAATGGGATCTCTAAAGCGTGGTGGTAATGAGCTGCCTTTTTGAATATATTCGAAATTCGTTATTGGTGTAGAAATTGAAATAACAATTACAGTAATTAAGTTAGCCCGTCAACTGGGCTTTATGGGAGGAGTTTTGATGCCATGGGCGGGGCTTCTACCAGAACTATGATTGGACAGTACACCATGATCACCTGATACAGCTACTTTAAACTATTTCTCGAATTGGATCTTTGCAAATCCCATGTTCCTTATTTCTCAGCCATCGATTTCGTTCAGGTGTTCGTCAAAACGATGATTATTTGTGTGGTGCTATGTAACCTTCATGGTCTTCTATTTCTACCGGCAATTCTCATCATGATCGACTCGATTCGATGGGCTATGCGGCCAAAGGGTGCGACTTTATCTTGAACCCTTTGTTCGTTGTGAAAAAAGAAATGGAAATAAGTAAAAGACGAAAAAGGCCAAGTTCTGGCATTTCGGCACGATAAGAATAAGGAGAAGTGCCGCTCTGGGCGACTGGTAGTAAAAAATGATTTTAGTTTATATTGGTTTTATGCCAAAACTGTTCTCTGTCTTTAAAGTCTTAATCCAAACGTGGTGCAGAGACTACCTTATAATGACATGAATAGACATTGTGCTTCATTAGATCCGTTTCAGGAGCCGCAGCTCAGGCTAAAATCGCCCAGCAGCAAAAAGCAGCATCACGAACGAAGCAAAAACATAACTGCAGGGTATGTTGAGCTCACTCCTACTCAATACTTTTTGGCGCAGAATCTACTCTTACAAAGTCTACTGTGACTTGGATTTGTGGGTAGGAATCATGACACGGAGTAGTTAGCAAGGGGCTGGAAAATGTCGTGATGAGGTTGCATGGTGAGGTGCTGCCTCTCCTCTCCGAAAGTCCGCCAAGCTTCCTAACGGCGTTCCACCCAAACGGGTGTATGACATGGTGAAAGCCTAGAATGGAAGGAGCGGATTAAGAGGATTTCTTTCTATCATTCGTGGTTTCATTGGGTGCTGATTTCTGGCTCATTACCACGTCATCTGTGGCACCCACTGCATTCGGAATCCTTTTTTGGGCGGTTGTGTATTTTGCATTCATGAAAGATAAAAGGATGAAATCTCACTGCGGTAATGGATCCCATCTTCGGGATGCGTCCTCCACATTTAAACTCCATTTGAATACGCCTGGGGCCTATACAGAGAGTTACGGTAACCAGCCGGTTTAGAACTGATGTAAGGCTCCATCAGCTTGAACAAGGACGGACCGAACCGGGAATTGCTTCCAAGCCATCTGCGTGATAGAGGGCGCCATTTGACACTTCACCACCTCTGTCCTTAGTCTGTACTTATATGGCCATAAATTGTTGCTGTGTATAGACAAGAAGCCAGAAGCTCATCAACGAAGGCTTTTTCCTTTTCAGATTGCACCTGAGAAGAGCTTTGTAACCGATCGCCCAGAGGTTTGATACTCGTCAACCACAGCTGCCAACGTGGATGAATAGATCTTTGAAACGGGATATTTTCTATGTTCTTCTTCTTCTTTTGCCTTCCTTTTCTTTTCCATGCGTTCTACGTTTTTTAACCCTCCCCATCGTGTTTCCCTCTATCATGCTCAGCCGATATTTCTTCATCGACGTGTCGTCGATTTGCATGTAAATAATCTAGGTAATATAGTTTCTCATATCATGTACAAAATTTGTGCGATAATGTTTTTAAGCTGTTGAATGAATATTTTAAGATAAGGATTAGCTTTTGGTCAGTTTCAGAGCTGTTTGTGGAAATAACCCACCGGCTTGGGGCGCCCATGTATCACTTGATGAGGAAATTCAATTACTAGACGGTTTTCGGCCACTGGTCGATCCCTTTTGGATACACCACACATTTAAGATCTTATTGGCGCTTGACTGGTCCTGCTCTTCTCCCTAGCGTTATTCCTGCCCACTCACAGAGTCCACAAATAACGAGGACAGAGTACCCTGAAACTGCCAACGATTAACGCTAGGGGGGAGAATAAGAAGAAATGTGAATTTGCTTTTGGATTGAAGAATAACTTTAACATTCTTGTTATGACTGTCTTGAAATACAATGCAGTAACTGCACATCTAAGTTCTGGCTTAAAGGCACTGTTCACGAACAAAATGGTTTCGGAGTTTTGCACATGGTTTGAATTCGACGCCCCTTCTGATACCATTTGTGCAGGAACGAGGTCGGAAAACGGTCTGGATAGGGCACAATAAGGGGCCGGAGAGTTATCCACGGTCGCCCTCCGCCCCTCGCTGGGCTGACTACGAGTTCTAATTTTCCTTCACCACATTCGCATTGAAGCGAAGTTGTCTGCTTGGGTGTGTTGTCTGCTATTGCAGACACTGCGTCGCCTTTGTGCATTCGCCCGAACTCTCCCTTGACCGCCGTTCTTCCAATGTGAAACTCGTCCAACCCCCATTTCCAGCTCTTTTTTGACCCTTTCTATTTCTTTTTGTTCATCGTTTTTTGCGCTTTTTTCGTTGTTTTCGCTTTATTCTAGAGTAGTTCTATGAATTCCCGTCAAAAAAGGGTACCCTAAAGTTATCGTAAACGGTGCCTTTAAAGATGGAATAGAGGACGGAGACGCTTGCCTTTATAGAAAGGGCGTTCATGGGTGTCGCAGTGTGTGGAAAGGGTTTATGACTACTCTTGCAATTTCCATCGGCCACGTGGTTCCAAGAGCCCTTATCTTTCATCTCTTGTAGGCAAAAATATAACACTAACAAAGTAAGAACCATCAGGTAATAGAACATAAAAATGAGGTTAACAAGAAAAAAAAAACAAAAAAAGGAAAAAAGAAAAGAAAATAGTCTAGGTGCACAGCTGCTTTGCTATTTGTTGGCACCTATCAGCTGGGATGTCGTCGAGGACCAGCGAAAAGCAGAGAAGCTCCTTATGAGATAACAAAGCAAACAATGTATCCGAGCATATCATTAGAGTCACGCACGAAGTAAAATTACAACAAAGGATGAGCGGAACTTGGAAGAAGACCATCTGACAAAGGCGATTAATCAAATGAGCGCTTGTATGTACAGGAAATCATAAAAGATGGAAAGAAATCCTCCTCTTCCGCTTCTGAGCACTTTACGAAATGCACACAAGTTAACTCTACTGCTTCATTCTAGCTTTTCACCATGTCATATCCCCGTTTGGGTGGAACGCCGCCAGAAAACTTGGCGTTCAGCGCCGAAAGGCAACACCTTACTATATAAAGTCATCACGACATCTGTCAGCCCCTAGCTAACTACTTCGTGTCATGAACCCTACCTACACATCCAGGTCGTAGTAGACCTTGTAATAGTAGATTCTGGGCCAAAAAGTATTGAGTAGGCAATGAACTCAACATACTCTGCAATTATGTTTTTGCTTCGTTCATGATGCTGTTTTTTGCTGCTGGGCGATTTTAGTCTGAGCTGCGGTTCCTGAAATGGATCTATTATCGTTGTACTGACAGGTACAGGTCTATTGAAGTACAATTTCTATTTCTTCCATTATAAAGCAATCTATGCACCACCTTTGGACTAAGACCTCGAAGATGGAGAACCGTCCTGTCTTCAATCAATGTGAACTAGAATCAGTTTTTACAGAAGCGTGAATACCAGATGACCAAAGCGCCGCTTCTCATTATTCGCTAAGACCAAAAGTTAATGGCTATCTTCAAAAACGTTCAAGAATGAGGAGAAATGGTCAGAGGCAGCTAGAAGAAAGGTGGTCAAATATTTTCAGAGGGAGGAGTTTGCGCTGAGGTGGATGGAGCTATGTTCAACCACTAACAAATCTGCGCAAATTAAAATATATCGAATGATGCCCTCAGAGCGGTATCAGGGTTCAGATTCAAAGAGAATCACCATGATACACAAACGTTCTGCTGATTGACTCCATCGTAAACAAGCGGTCGTGGACATATAAAGCACGCGTTAGCGTGGATAGCCCAATTGGTGGAGAATAAAGTGTTTAGAGTCAACCAGCCCCGTTTCTAGGGTGCGCCAGAGCATTCAACTCCCATACAGAATCGTAGGGTGTTTTGAATGCGTATGTGGCCAATACATGCGGTGACAACCTATGTGCAAGTCTAGGCTTTTATCCTCCAAAGGTCAGGGAGAAAACACGCGAAAGAACTATAAATCATTAATCATTACAGAAATACAGTTTTTTTCAAAAGTGTTAAAATAATGCCAAAAAAGTCACCTTTTGTGTACTTGAATACGCCACTGGCTTTTTCCCAACATCGCCTTACCCGGGAGACTCGGAGAACGATTTTTGTAGGATACACATTCAACTACTGTTCAGTGAAGTGTGTTCGAATGCCTCGCATAGGTTAACAATGTTCCGCAGAAGAACTAGCTTCAAAGGATATCTCAGTCCAATTCAGAAAAATCCATTCTACGAAAGCGAGGGAAACAAGACATGCGCAACTTTCAGTAATCTTATAAGGTACTAGGAGAAGACAGTAACAGCTCGGTTGAGGGATTGGAATGTCTCTAGCACTGGAAAATCGTTTAAAAATGAAAAAAGTTAAACGTTCATATGACATGAGCGTAAGCGCAGGGCGATAGATCCCACAGACTTACACTTGGGTGTGTTTCTCCCGAATCGAATTAACGATTATCTGACTACTTCATCTGGGTAGTNCCACGAAGCATTTCACTGAGAAGAGTGGTGCACTCCGGTTTTTGATGTTGAGTTGCAACGCTTAGGTCGTTTACTTAGGTTTGCTGAAATCACCGTGGTTAGAAAGTCTCGGGGCTGATCAGAAGAAAGTGAAAGAGTGGAAATAGAACTCAATTCGCACCTTCAATGTTTCCCTTTTTTATGCTTGGCTAGAAATTTTTTGGCTTTTGCAATAAGAACCTTTTTGCTAGGGCTGCAAAATCAATTCTCCATTATTCACATATATTTCCCCTTTAAAAGTAAGTCTTTCCTGCAACCGAACCATAGCTACTGAAAGTACTCACGGTTTGTTCTTATCAAGGCTTGTGCTCTTGCTAGATACGCTCGGAATCACAGCACTGATCATCAGCAGAGCCATCTGAATAAAGCAGCTACCACTTCGTTGCAATACCTGTACAGATACCTCGCTACAAAACATTCAAAAAACACGTACCAGTAGTAAAGGGAAAGAGAAGTAACGCGCCATTGCTGACCTTGTCCCCTGTAAAGATCTAATGTTACTGGAGCAGCGCAATAGACTGCATAAATGTGGATAGAATTCGAAGAAAAACAAATTTCAATGCAATCCATAGAAGGAGTAAGGCAATCTAGGCGAAGCAGGTTTACTCTCTTTACTTTTCTTTGGGACGACATCGCTTTTGGAATGTTGATAAAAACTAAAAGGATAAAGACCTGGGGCATTTGAACTCTCTCAGAGGGATGCACCCATGCATTCGACTTCCACTCAGAACCGAAGTATCGTACTGAATGTGTATATGACCTATACAACGATTTGCAGTGTCCAACCGACGCATAAGTCGGTGCTTTTATCCTCCCACATGAGTCTGGTACCAGTGAACTACGGGGGGATTCAAAGCTTTATTGGCCTAAGCAGATATTGCTACAGGATTCCAACCCGTGACCGAGAGGATGTGTGGAGGCTGCCACTTGCCACTGCACCGCCCCCGCTATAATTTTTTTCAAAGCGAAAAGAAAGAGGAACTGCACGTTGATTCGACATTTAGGAGTGAAGGCATAATCGAGAACACACTGGCATTTGCGTCCGTGCACACTTTATATACGCCTTTGAGAAATCACGTTCTCTTGAATCCCAATGCTATATCATAGAAGCTGATCGAGAGTGAGCAGCGTAAAAGGGGTTGCATATAGTTGAAGTCAATTATGATCACTTAAAAAAAAGCGTGGAATATCAATTGGCTATTATTTTAAGGCGATGGATATTCTCTCAGTCAAGCCATCGCAAATTTCCATATTAACAAGATTGTTCTTTTATAGCTATACAGTGTTGCTTCCGGATGTTCAGACTTCTTGAAAAAAAGCATGAATAAGAAACGCTAGATCCTCTGTGAAGCTCAGAGAAAAGGGTCATTGAAGAACACTCAAAAATATACCCTGGAGAAACCAGAAGTTGTAAAGTAAGCGAAGGATGGAAAAATTCGATTCAGGAAGGAGTCAAGTGCTGAAAGTGCAGAAAGGTTGTTTTTCAGAATGATCAAAACCTTAAGAATTTCAAGAGGGGCAGCATTAAAACAAGCAAATTTCGGTGGTCTCAGAATCTCGCACATCAGCTCATTGAGAAACCTGCCATCTCCGCCGCTTCACAAGTAATGGAGCTATTGAGCAGAAATTACTCTATTACCTGATCACCCTCTGGAGAACAGATTAGTCGCACATCGCAACCAGTACTGTGAAAGGTGTTCGAGAACAAAATGTTTCGAAATGTCTAATCTGCCCGTTCAGGGCCATTTAGGACAGCCTCGTGGAAGAACTC